GCCGGAGACCCTACAAAACCAAACCAGGGCGAGCGGCCCCGTGCGCCGGAGACCCTACAAAACCAAACCAAGGCAAGCGGCCCCGTGCCCCGGAGACCCTACAAAACCAAACCAGGGCGAGCGGCCCCGTGCCCCGGAGACCCTACAAAACCAAACCAGGCCGAGCATGTGATGGGGGGTGGGAGGAAGGTTCTTGTAAGGAATTGTGTGTGCGCGCGATGGCGTTTGCGTGTGCGGTGAGTGGTGGGGGGGGGGTCACATGTGCCCATGAACTGGAAGGGGGTTCAGGGGCTCTGCAGCTGTCTGCGCTGGTGGGTTTAACCCTCGCAGGCCTGGCTCTCTCTGTCCAGCTGCTTTTTCTGGTCCTGTCCCAGGTGCGGGCGCTCGGGGGTTGCCCAGGCCCTGGCACGGGGCCCGCGGGGCGACGGGTGATCTCCAGAACCCGCAAGGCTGTCAGGGGAATTCCAGGTGCTGCCGGGAGCCAGAGGCCTTTGGCCTGGCCAGGGCCCTGCCAGCCAGGCGTTGGGGGGGGGGCTGCAGGACACGGCTGCTCCCCCTCCCGGCCCCCCAGAGCCCAGGGATGGTCTGGGTAATACTTGGTCCTGGCCTGAGGGCGGGGGACTGGCCTAGGTGTCTCGAGGTCCCTTCCAGGCCTGTAATTCTGTAACATGAGACCCCCCCCCAGCTGCTCCGGTGGGATCCCCACCCCGCGACCCCCCTGCAGGGTAGCGCTGAGTCCACGCCCTGGCCTGGGCCGATATCCGCCCCCCTCCCTGTGGGGGGCTGCTCGGCCTCGGTGCAGGGCCAGGGTTGGGCCTTGGGCGTTATCACACCTGCTCCGGCAGCGCCTGGCTGAGGCTGGGGCCGGATGTGCAAGGCGGGCTCCGCCCGGCCCACAGGGCGGGTGGCTAGTGGTGAGTCCCCCCAGAGCCTGCCCTGGGGCTCCACGAGGCTGTGTGGGGCTGGAGCTGCTGGGCCAGGCAGGTGATGTAGGGGGGGATTCGGGGCGCAGGCCCCCGAGGGGCTGCCCGAGTTTCTCTCCCCGGCCCTGACTGGCTCCCGTCTCTCCTGTTGCAGCGCTGGCTTTCAGGGGGGCCAGGGACCCCCGGGAGACCGAGCTGACCCAGGGCCCTGGCCCCACGGCTGCGCCCGGAGACCAAGGCAGAGCCGTGGGCAAAATGCACCAGAGACGCAGCCACCCGGACCCCAACCACGGTAAGTCCTAGCGGCGAAGTCCACCTTCAGCACCAGCCCGGCCCCCTCCACGGGGGGTGTCCCAGCCTGGGGCTCCCCACAGCTCTGCCGGTGCCCCTCACTCCCGACCCACAGCCCCCCCAACCAGCCCTGGCTGGTGCTGTTGCTGACGATGCTGCCCCCCTCCCCCCG